ACTTCTGCTCCAACTACCTTCTAAAATAAAGCTGGGATATGCTTTGATGGGCTTTAACTTCTTAAACAGAGATAAAATAAAAACMAAACCGTAAACTAAAATATGGTGTAATTCTTCCAACACAGCTTTCTGATTAAAACAAACCAMTCTTTGGTGTAAATGTCACCTAATACGAAGGTAACAGTGGCCTTAAAGTTTGGTCAACTATATCACAGAAACARCTGCACCGATCAACATGACATTTCGCAGGACTGTAGAGTTATCTGACCTATACTGTGCCAGCCAGCGGTTCTACGTTAGACCCCACGTCTAAACAGGGGGCTCCATCTGAAAAGGGGGTGTCTAGACATACAAAAATGCTTATAACCCAAAAACTATTCAATAAAGAAGCTTCAGATTTTTTTAGTTGTTTAGCTTTGATGAAGGGCTATCCATCGGGCCCACCATTGAGCCCCCCATCCCCACCCTCCAGACCAAGAGGGCGTCTAGACATACAAAAATGCTTATAACCCAAAAACTATTCAATAAAGAAGCGTCAGATTTTTTTAGTTGTTTAGCTTTGATGAAGGGCTATCCATCGGGCCCAMCATTGAGCCCCCCATCCCCACCCTCCAGACCCCCACCCAAAATAATAAAGCTGTTCTAGTGAGTTCTGGTGCATTGATGTTTGTGTTCGTATGGGGGTCATATAGTATGCTAGTTTAACAAAATAATAGTAGAGTTTCTGCACTTGAGCTTGTGTGTTAAAAGGAAATACACAATAATTTCAAACTTGAGCACAAAAATGTTATTTAAAAAAAATCAGTGATGTTTGTTTTGGAAAAAGACAGATTCAGATAAATCAAAAAAAGTTCGAAATACTGTGACTTTGAGGCCGATGATGGAAATTTCTGCCTGCATCTGTATTTATTCTGTAAGTCTGAGGAATACTGCACAAATATCTTCAATATGATTTAAAAACTGCAACTCATTCTTAAACAATTTTAACTGAAACATAGTAGAAAACATTGATAATTAGCTGAATAATCTTACATGAACTGAAAACAAAGATTAAATCAAACATTAAACCAGTAATAATAAGATAAAGTTCTTGATATTTTTGTTCAACTTAAATAAAAAAAAAACAACCACCCACATCCCAAACAGATAAAATTTGAGCTCAGAGCAACATCTGTTGTCCGGCTGTGAAACACAACTCGGCTGTTTCCAACCAGCCAGAGGAGTTTGTGTGTTTTCACCCCGTCGCCTCACGAGTCGTGTCCCGTCTGAACCTCAGAGGCCACCACCCGAGACCAGGGTCATCAAAACAACACAGAGCGGGACGGAGACGGGACATCATAAAGACTCAGGATTAGGATTACAGCAATCCATCAACAAGAAGACAAAATTTAATCTTAATGTTAAATTTGGTTTCTTTCTATRTTGAATATTTCTCTGGCATTTTGTTCAGTTATGGCCCCTTTTCATCATCTCAGCCCTACATTGGGTGATCCCACTCATTTTCAGCTTTGTTCCGTGGACCTCCTGGGCTGAGGCTCCAAGCGGGAATTTAAATTAATGCTAACTAACAAAATAAAAGTTCAGATATCAGTAAGTGTTTACTGGCTCTGATGTTCTGATAAATAAAAGTGATTCGGCTGCTGGTGACTCAGGTCAATATGAAAGGACCAATTAAAAACCAAAGAGAAACGAGACCAGAGGAAGTCCTGCTGACGGCCCCTGCAGGACCACTATGAAATTCAAACTGTAGTCTAATGTAACCAGCCCGTTTTTCTACCCTCAAAGAGAAACAAAACGCACACTGGAACAGATCTTTTCAGGAGGAATTTGAGGTTTTATGCATCTTATCATTARAGAAGTCAAGACCCAGAAGAACTGCTCAGACAGCAAACTCTGCTTTTTAAATATTAACCATCTGATTTCATCATATTCACCACAAAACACCACACTTAACAGTGCTAAAAATAAACCCGAAAGTTCTTAATACTGTAAAATAATGTCTTTTACTATTTAAGATTAGAACCTTTTAGAAACATTACAATGATGAAACCTTATTGAAATAAATAAAAAAAAGCTTTAGTTTTGGCAAAATTTTACAAAGTTTTTATTCCAAAAAAGGTTTAGGTCAAGTTTTAACAAAGCAAGAAGGAGATTTTCTGAGAATTTAGAAAATTTATTGCCACAAAGTCAAGAAGGAAAATCCTCATCAAAGACTCGTAAAGAAGCAACAGTTGCTTCCCATAAATCTGGTTTCCAGACAATTATTTACAATTTGAAAACATTTAACAATCTTTCCAGGTGATTTTTCAGCCGCAGCTAAATCCAACAAAAACTTTATCAAACATTTCCCAAGACAAGAATTAAAAAAAACAAATGAACAAGAACCAAAAATATATTTTTAAAAACAAACAAAACTTCAACCTACCCCATACTCCCCCGTCTCTTGGTTAGTCATCGCCCACAGGTCCACGTCTATATTCCTCGCATTTTTTTCATCCGTGGTAACCAATCCCGTCACTCCTAAAGACACAACGATATGCAGAGAAATTATGATCCCTTGTTGTCCAGTTTGGACAGTACCACCCCAAAGTCTAGCTCAGTCTAGCTTGTCTTGCTAGCGCTGAGCTAATACATATAAGTCAATATAGCGCTAGCGCAAAGGCTAACAGGCTAAGCTGAGGTTCTTCTTCCATGAAGCAGTTCTGTTGTCCTCCATCCATATTTTCAGTTCCAGGCTGAGTCATTTCTACCTTCTCCTCTCTGTCAACGCTCTCTGGTTTCATTTAAAAGAGTCGATCATCAGATATTGTCCAAGATTAACCTTCAGGGTGGATATAGCTCGCTAGCAGCCTCGCACCGAGGACCTATCCACGTCATCATTTRCCCAGAAWGCTTTGTGTGTAAATAAAATGGCTCTGTCCTTGTTAAAATATATTTTTAAAAATTTACAAAACTAAACAGCCTACAGTATTTTTACAGTCTTTATTTTACAGTTAAATGTTTATCAAATGAAGTCTAATGTTACAACTAATCAGGGATCCCTTTAACACTGATCAATAACATTTATAGACCTCAGATAGTGCTTCTAAATTTAGTCTATAAATTTAGCAAGTGCCAATCCACTAACAAATTTTAAAATTAGCAAAAGCCCCAAAGCACTAATCAGGAAATTAGTTCCCCTGTTAGTGCTTTAGGGGAACTGTGCCCACCACTGGTCGACTTCAGAAGTTTAACCACTGTAGTTCAGCTAATGATGACTTTTTAAGAGCATCGTCACAATCCAACCAATGGTTCATGAGATATTTTACTAAAACCCTGTTTATTGGTAAATGTCTCTGACCACCACCAGTAGGCAAGGTGGGCGAAGTGTCTTGCCCAAGGACACAACGACTGAGACAGTTGAAACAGGAGATCGAACCAGCGACCCTCCGGTTATAGAACAACTCCCCTAACCACTGCACTACAGCTGCCCCATGTTTATTAGCAAAATATCTCATCTACCACTAGACAGACTTAAATTAAACTCTGGGAAAGTATTTATTGGATATATGCTAATCTAATCTAAATGATTTCAAGCTTGTTGGTCTTTGCAGAAACAATAATGGCTACACCTCAGACCATTTTACAGATACTGGGTTAAAACTTGGTGTGGTAATAGCTGAGACTGATCCCCAACGCAGACTCTGAGCACTAACAGATCTGATGATGTCACACAGGCTCACACAATACATCATTTTCAATATTCAATAAACAAAAAGGCTTASATGTACAAGTCTGTTCTCCAGTAAACTATCGATGTTTTCTCACCCCAGAAACGCCGGTTCTGTGTCTTCATCGTGATGTTAATGCCGTCGTTCTGAGCCCCGCCTTCTGCCAGCGTCTCCTCCAGGGCCATGGCGTAGAGAACAAAACCGTCATAAAAACTGCCAGCGATGTAGTCCATCTGCAACAAGAAACTCGCTTTAAACCAAACAGGAACAAAGAGACGCTAATAAATGTTCTCCACCGAGGGGAGCTTATTCTGCTGCCGAGTTTCGTTCAAACAACTCGGTTTTTGTTGTTCTCACTAAAGAAATATATGCTATAATTCTAGCAACAGCTTCTAACAACACAGTAAACATCGTTCATCTTTAAAGCTCAGACGATTACGCAGCACAGTGGGTCATTTGTTTCCCCGTGCAGAGTTAGCTATAAAAGTTTAAAGAGGTTGTTATGCAGTCCAGAACTTGCAGGGATTTATTACTTACTAATGATGGTTCCAAATGAACGCCAAAATCCCTCTGAGCTCTCGCGTGGAGTTTCCTCTGAAAGTCCCGGTACTCTGGATTATCCGGAGGATGGTAAGTTATGACAAAAACAGACTGAAAGGAGCACAAAATAAAACAAAAACAAAAGTTTTAATCACCCAAACAACTTCACCACCTTGAATCCCTAAAGCCATCATTTAAAGAGTTAATCAACCATGAAAAATCAATAAACACCCATTTATATTTTACTAACTACAAGAATAATAAATAAAATAAATCGCAACAAAACTGCGTTTAGTTTCAGCCACATATGGCAAATATTTACCTCGTCTGAACTTTGATCCTCCCCTCTACCACCTCAGAAACAAGCCTCTGGGTTTGTTTTTATGAAACTTCATCATGGCTCTTAATATGGATAATTTCTCGTGTCACAAGAGTGATTAAAATTCATCAAAAACTTCCTCAAGCAATTATTGCTCCAACAGAAGCAGCTCAGCACCATCRGTCCTGTTTGGACCTGCCAGTAAACTGTACTGAGCATACCTCAGTTCCTAACCTGCTGCTCCTCAACTTCACAGAACGTTAGAGGAAAATAACCGTATTTAATGACAAGGCTAATTGTTACCACCTCATGGTTTTAACAATTTAATTTACCTTCTAGACAAGTTATATCTACTCAGGTAGCAATACAACTTGGTATTCAAGGCTAAAGTTAGCAGGACACGGGGTCATCATTTATTTCAGACATTGATATAGCAGCACGTTTTCACTCCCGACTCGTCACCRTATTAACACTTGGTCAGTTACCGTCTGCGTCCAGTATTGCCGCATCTAGTACCCCCCTCGCGTCAGGTATTTACGCCCGCGGCTTTTCCGGGTTGCGCCACATAGGGGTCTTTGGTTTGGGGGTCTGTGGTTAATATGAGGGATCAGGATTGGGATTGTTAAATAACTGACGCAAGGGGGCTACCCGATGTGTCCAAAACTGGATGGTACCTGACCAGGCGTCAATATGTGACGGGTTGGGAGTGGGAATGGGTTGGATATAGAGACAGTGAGTGGATGAACGTTTTGGTGAACTCTGAAGGAGTAATCATTATTCTATGTGACCGCACTGGACATCATGTCACCTGAGCGTGTTACGCAAGGGAGATTTTACGCATTGAGCTAACGCTAGCGCTAACCATCGATATCAACATGGCATGGTGCAAACAAATGTAAAATAAATATACGAGTGGCACTAATGCTTTGCTGTAAATGGCAGAAATTATAACAAGTTTACAAGAGATGAAGGGATGATTTTTCACAGGTAATTAACACATATTTAACCAAAGTTAATGACTTAACTGTAAAACGTGTATGCTAACATTCAAAACGCTTCAACGTTCAGGTTTAACCTTTTTAGAATCGATTTTCTTTTATCAAATATATTACCTACTGATATTAAACTGGTAAAATAAGGACTTGGAATACTGACTAATTAATCTGTGTGATATTTCATAAATTATGATGTAGACTCAATAATAATTGAACTGCACAGTTCACATCATAATACAAAATAATACAACCGTGTCAAGGTTAAGGCCAATTTATCTAGYTATTATGTTTTCTACACCTAATATATGTGTCAAAAAGATTTAATTTAATTTATTTGTTTTAAATATCTAAGGCTCGAGTCTGATTGATAAATATCTGCATGAATATCCAGCAGCTCAGCATTCATATCTGAAGCGCAAAATTCTGATTTTATCCCACTGTTRTTCATTTAAATTAGTTTCTTATTTAAATTTTCCACAAAGCAGARCATTCACAATTTCCTCAGCTTTATTTTGAGCCATAGTTTATGAAAATCAAGTAAGAAATAAKAACTTTATATGAGTTTATCTACAGGATGACGCCTCACAAGCTACTGACATCCATTGATTTTGTTAGCAACAAGCTAGCGACGTCCAATCCAGTAATACARATCAGAATATGTTCACAGTTTGATTCAAGAAAAATGCTTCAACAATGCAAAACCCRCCATAATTCTCTGTGGTAGGTTGGCTGAGCCTGCCAGTCACATAAACACACGATTCATAGTTTATGTTTAGGTCAACACCTACAACAAATGATGAACCATGTGTTATGTTAGCTTTAGCCACAAACGAGCGAGTTTTAAACAAAACCTACCTGCTGAGCAGTACTAACCCTATCTTGCATGTTTTACATGTTTTTCTGCTTTTTACACACCTGATTTAAAWGTACACATGAATAACAGACGTCTGCTGAAGAGCAGGACCCTTTTTTTAAAACATGCAGGATCGGACACCACTGCTCTACAAGTTCAGAGATCAGTGTCCTTCCCGCAGAAGCACAAAGAAAACGAAGCAGAAATACTGCAACGTTTTTAAATTTAGGTGTCGAGAACCAGCTTGCAAATCTGAACAGGAGCACTATTTTTAAAAAGTTCTAAAATGTCAGATTTTGTTTTCATTTTGCAGAAATGGACACAAATGTGAAATATGTGTTCTTTATCAGATGTTTACGGACACCATGCAACCAATTATCCGATCCATGTCATCTGAAACCAAGCTGCATGTTTGTAATTARGTAAGAAATGATCCCAACAGCACATGAAAGTTTTCTAAAACAGAACGTAAACGAGTGTACTAAACACACGTTCCTTCTAAAACTTTGTGAAAAATAAATTAAGAGAATTAAGAGAGACCTGTGTGACATTAAGGGGAATGAATTAGTGGAGCGGCACATCTGTGTTCAGCTTATTTCTCAGAGCACTAATTTGTCGAGCTGAGTGTCTTCCTGTTGAAGCATATCCACTCGTTCATTAACGTCACACAAGAATTTCACTTCCTAAAGTGGTCAGAGTGGGTGGGTGGGTGTCTGGAAAAACCGATGGAAATTCCTGAGTTCATCAGTTTTTTTTCTTAAACAAGCCTGTCATTATAAAAGCTTCAGCTGCTATCAGAGCTTCGGCTAGCTCTCACCTAGCAGCTTTAGCTGAAACGTGGTTTGTAAAATGCACAGAGCCACAGACCTTGAAGACCTCCATGGCGTTGGGCCAGTCAAAGTTGGACCTCTGCCACGGTTTGCGATCAGTCAGGCTTTCCGCGAACTCGTCCAGATAGAAGATGGCGTAGTTTTCCGGGTCCTGGATCTCGCTCTGAAACAGCTTCATGATGTTCAGGAACGTCTCCAGGGGACCGCAGAGGTAAATAACTGCAAACAGAGCAGAGAGGAGGAAGAAGTCAGTCTCACAGCAGGTTCAGACAACAAAACTGGAGAAATTAKTGATCTCATGGGTTTMTGTTRGGGATGACTCTCAGCTACTACCACACCGAATTTTAGCTCATTATCTGTAAATCTGACTGAGTTGTGTTGGTTAAAGTTCATTRGCTCAACCTGTTGAATCAGCTCCAAAGGTTCATCAGTTCTACAGGAACATTCCCACATAACAAAACTTGTCTGGCCCAGTACAGGCCCGCACAATACACTAACACTTGGCCCAAAGGTCACAAAGAATGATGGTCTGTTGGTGGCCCAGCACCACATAAAMYAAACCACARCTRGGCCAGTTGTGGCATTGACAGATTTGGGCCACCTAAACTAAACCACAGCTRGGCCAGTTATACGTAGCACTGACGTATTTCGACCACATAAATCAAACAATTGGCCAAGTTGTGGCATGGTCAGTTTAGGACCTTAAAGCAAACCACACCTGGGCCAGTTGTGCCATTGACTGAGTTGAGCCACATAAACCAATCTACAACCGGGCCAGTTGTGGCATTAACAGATTCGGGCCACATAAACCAAACCACAATTAGRCCAGTTGTGGCATGGCCAGATTTGGACCACTCAAACCAAACCACAACTGGCCCAGGTGTGGTTTGGTTTGAGTGGTTTGGTTTGGACCACTCAAACCAAACCACACCTAGGCCAGTTGTGCCATTGACTGAGTTGAGCCACATAAACCAATCTACAACTGGGCCAGTTGTGGCATGGCCAGATTTGGGCCACATAAACCAAACCACAACTGGGACAGTTATAGCATTGACATATTTGGACCACATAAATTAAACAATTGGCCTAGTTGTGGCATGGCCAGTTTTGGACCACTTAAACCAAACCACACCTGGGCCAGTTGTGGCATTGACAGATTTGGGCCACATAAACCAAACAACAACTCAGACATTTGTTGTATACCTTAGTAAACACAGTGCTGTCATTGCTAGACCTGGCCCATATGCGGTTGACAAACAACTTGCCATACCAGCAGTCAGCCAACATTGCCAGCTTGACACCAGATCTGGCCCACACCTGTCTCTGCTATGTGGGTTCTGTGATTTCTGAAGGTCTCATTAAAATCTGTTCAGTGGATCTTTTGATATTTTGCTAACAGACAAACAGTTGTTCTCTAAACAACTCTCATCTTCAACCAACTAAACCAGAGCAGACTCCAAAAGTTATTCAGTTGTTAATGTAGTTAACAGACATTTAGATGAACTCAAGTCCACAGGCAGTGGACGTGACACCCCCCCCCCCCACCTTTCATGGCAGTTTTTATTAAATAAAAACTTAATACAGCAACAGTAAAAGGTTGTTTTAAACTAAATAAAGGTCTAAAATCTGAATATTTTTTCTATCCTGCAGATTCCTCTCCGTGTTGCTCGAGGGCAATGTACCGCCGTTGTAAAAAATTCAAACTGAGGAGCTTTTTTTTTCAGTCTCTGAAAGTGTCTGAACCTCCTGCCTTCCCTCTGCCACCTACACCTCCTGCTGCTGAGTCATGAATTAAAAGCAAAGCTTTATTTCTCTGCACGGTTTACGTCCAAAGCTGCTGGTTAGCAAACATTTCCTCGTTTTTTTAGGCCGAAGTCAGCGACCGGTCCAATCCGAGCACTCCGAGTACTCCTGCTGTCTCCTTTAAGTTTTTACAGTATGTGATGTTGGAGATACACAAGTTAAAGAATATATTTCCAGTGGTAAATGGGAGTTTGGGTGTGTTCACGCGTTGATCTGGAGTAAGTTGAAAGAAAATAAGTCATACTGGGAGAAACAAGACAAATATAGCAAAATTTGATGCCTTAACTCTATAAAATGTTTAAAGTTAGTGAAAATAAGCAGATAAATCTGTGGTAAAATCTCTCAAAAATCACAAAACTTTATCTGTGATTGTGTAAGAACTATAAAATACATCAAAATACCAGTTTGATTGAAGTTTGAAAAGTTTGAGTTCTACAGCTCCAAGGTTTTCTCACTCATTTTACAAAAAAATATAATTTTCTTTTCAAATTTCACTTACAGCATACGATGTACCATTAAAGTGCCTGTGACATGTCTATCCATCAAATACAAAAAGTGAAAGAAAACACATTTTTATTTAAGAAAGCTTGCATAAAATGTGATTTTACCCATTTTGTCACATAAATGGCATATTTTCTTTCGAACTTGGCTCAGTCAAAGTGCAACAGGAAGTGACATCAAARGGGAACTCTTTAACAAGGAAAACTCTCTGCTCTTTGTTTATTAAAGCAATATTATTTGAACTCCGACTCATCCATCTCTCTTTGATAGAGACTCAAAATAATGTAAAGAAACATCAGATTCTTCTCTACAGTCTGTGTCGTTAGCTAATTTATCAATGCTTTGTTCCATGCAGACATTCCCCTTTGACATCACTTCCTGCTCCTTCACATGCAAATATCTCAACAACTGTTCATCTCAGCAGCCGGAAATTATTTTTGCAATATGCTAATAATGTTATCTTTCCAATAATGCCTTTATATGTATTTAAAAAATTTCATGCCACAGGCACTTTAAGGTAAAACACACTTTTCTCAACTGATCCACATATTCTGATGTGGTTTTGTTTGGGTTTTTGAGAAAATTGAGATAAACTAGAAAAATATCTGAACAGTAGTAAAGATGCTTCAGTGGTGGTCTGTTACCACCTTTAATTATTTAGGATGAAGCCTCTTTTCTTATTGTGACGAAGATGTTTTGTGATTTTCTTTGCTTTTAGAAAAGATGCACAATAATCTGAGGCTTTTTGTCGCTGCGTGCATTATATCTGAACACAAAAAGCTTCTAATATGAAAGTGAGACTGAATAATGGAGGACAAAAGGATGACAGATATATATGCTGTTAGATAATGTTGCTAATTTTCAAAGCTTTTCTCAAATGACATAAACTGGCCTAAAGAAAACGGTGAGGAATAAAAGAGCAAATTACTCGTCATGACAGCGTCCCAGACTCATTTTTCTCACAATAACAGCTTTGCCTTTTTTTTTTCTCGTTTCAGACGGCCGCTGGTAACGTTGCCTTACATAATTCTTTCTCCTCATTGATCGTCTCTGTAGCAATTTTATTTGCCAAGAAATCGTAGAGTTCGCTTACATAAAGACACAAAGAATTCACAGGAAACAGATGTGAGGCAGCGAGTTCTGCTTCGTGGAACAGAAAAATTAAAAGAATCCATTATTCGTATCGGTCCAAACGCCATGAATCAAAATGATGTTTGAGTCAAGAAAAAGAGGATTTAATACATCGAGCTTATTTTGTAAAATTAAAAAATAAAAAATAAAAAATGACAATGGGACAAAACATGAGTAAAACTTGTAACTAATCAAATGCGTCTTTAGAATTCGAAGACCCAAAATTAAAAAGTACTGTTAGCAAAATATTGCATAACCTGCTGGATCTTTATGAAACTCTGTGGATACATCTACAACAAATTCACTGTTTGCTTTAAACCCAGTTCAAGATGGCCGCTACAACCAATAACCTCCGTAAAAAACACAAACAAAAAATAAATGCGTGGCTGATTTTTTTTTTTTACCCCCATGAGATCTTCTAAAGATTAAACTCTAATTCTTCAAACTCAGATAATTTACAACTGGCCCTGTTTGATCTGTTTATGTAGCCAAATTCTATCAATGCCACACCTGGTCCAGTTGTGGTTTTGTTTATGTAGTGCTGGCCCATGCATGGACCACCTCTTGCAAACCACATCTGGGCCACCAAAGGGTCATTATTATTTGCTGTATGTGGGCTGAGGGTTAGTGCATTGTATGGGCCAGAACTGAGCCAAGACAGGTTTTGCTATGTGAGCAACTTTGAAAGACTTGATCTAACCCTGTGGACAAAGTTCTTTCTTCTGTTATTATTGCTAATTAATAATAATTAATAATATTATTAGTATTTTCTTAGGGTTAGGTTAGGGGTTGGAATGTTCTTGTGGTCCAGACTCGGTCTGCGATCATGTGACTCGGCCTGCCGGGACAAGCCCCGACAGAACCACCCGACAGGAGTATCTGACCTCCGGCTCCACAGCTCATCAAGAGGCCGCCCTCCGATTAGCTCTGCGGTTGTCACAACAACACGTCAACATGCTGAAAACTAGTTCCAGTCGTCCGAGCCAGAACCCAGAACGCTGCGGGACTTTTACTACTTTTACTGTTTGGAAGAACGTTCTGCTCCGAGACGTTCTGCTGCTTCCAACAGTGGTTCCCTCCAGATGTTTCCTGCATTACAGCTAAATATTTGTCCCAACACCAGACAGAAACTTCACTATCGTCTTTAAAAAAATTAAATTAAACATGAATGAAACTAAGATTTATAACAAAATAGATCAACTTTATACTTGAACAGTTAAAAGGAAAATATTTTGGGACCGTTGATCAATTTATTTCAAATCAGCTGTAAAAAATATTTTAAGTGTCTGAAATTAATACAGAGATTTAGAGGAGCTAAAAAATTACAGCATTAAACTGAGAGCTGAATGTCAGCCGAAATATAATGAAGTTAAAATGGAGTCATTAAAGCTAAAAGGAACAGAGCTACGACTAGCAAAACACAAGCTAGAAGCTAAAAGAAACAGAATATTAGCTAAAAGTTAAAAAAGAGCAGAACACTAGCTAAAAGCTAATGGAAGCAGAACATTAGCTAAAAGCCTAAAAAAATCAGAAAACTAGCTAAAAGCTGCAGGAAGCAGAATATTAGCTAAAAGCCTAAAAAATCTGAATACTAGCTAAAAGCTGCAGGAAGCAGAAATTAGCTAAAAGCCTAAAGTAGCAGAATGGTAAATGGCAGCTAAAATCAGCAGATTCCTAACAAAAAGTAGCAGAATGCTGGCTAAAAGCACACTGCAAAAGTTAGCCATTTAAAAACAAGTAACAACTAAATTATAATCTGAATCTTTTCTAATGAAGTTCAATAATCTGACAGAAAAATGACATGGATACACGTGGTTAAACTTATTGAAAYAAGAAAAATTTCCAGGCTRACAAGTTTAATAATCTAAAATATTCTGCTCTWGTTTAGTAAATCAGTCTCAAAACAAGATCAAAACATTGTTTGGCTGACATAGGAGTGAGATTTGCTTAGATTATGTAGAATAAAAACAATCACAGTCAGYATACTGAAGCAGATTATAACCAGAACATGCAGAAAATATTAGTAAATAGAGTTAAATGTTGTAAAGAGAAGTTACATGGAGCCTCCATCACCTGAATGAGACGAACATTTAGACAGAAAAACGAGCTAAACGCTGACTCAGCACATCTACAGGAAACATTTTTACACTTCACACTGCAGAAAACCTGCAGCAGCTAAATGCTCACGGGTTAATTACCTGTTAATTACCTGTTAATTACCTGTTAATTACCTGTTAATTAGATCTGAATAAATAAAGGTGACGAGTGATGTAACAGGATTCTTACGTCGCCCAGAAAGAAAAAATAAAAATGGTTTTGTGACTCGATAAGATCAAACAAACACGGATCTTTGACGCGTTGGAAGAGATGAAACCGGACCTTCTTAGTGTTCCGGTCCGGTTCTCATGGACTCCTGACTCAGCAGGTCCAGCTGCAGCAGACAGGATCCCAGCCTGAACATTCCTTTCTTTCTGCACCTCCGTTTGCTTCGGCTTGTGTCTGCCTGTTAGCCAAATATCTCAAACTACCGCTAAATCCTTTAAAGAACGTACGGATTCTTAACTTCTGGAGTTGATGTTCTTCGACAGAYAAGAGGGAAGACTTTGAATCTGTCTTCATCTACAGATTATAATCTCATCTACAGAATAATCTGAGTTTAAAGGCTGAGAGTTAGTAGATTGYGATTCATCAAAAACAGGTCTGCTTCTGTTCTGGACTTCACGGGCTCAGGAGCAGAACACTAGCTGTGAACACTGATCACCTACAGCCAATCAACTAAAGCTGCTTAAAGCTCTATCACGCAAAGAAGAAGMCGTATGTAAACACCATCCAGAACCACTGAAACAGACCGAGGCAAAGCAGAAAACTGTTCTGTGCTCAAGAGACAAACCTGAAATTATGCCTGGAAAAAAACAGTTRAAAAGAGCAGAACACTAGCTAAAAGCTAAATGAAGMAGTTGACTAACTAAACCTAGCAGAACACCAGCTGCAAGTGAAAACAAAACATTATCTTAAAGAAACAAAACACTAGCTAAAAGCTAAATGAAGCATTTCACTAGAACACTAGCTGCAAGCAAAAATAATTAAAACAGCTTAAAGAAACAAAACACTAGCTAAAAGCTAAATGAAGCAGTTCACTAGCTAAACCTAGCAGAACACTAGCTGCAAGCTAAAACAATTACAATATTAGCTTAAAGAAACAAAACACTAGCTAAAAGCTAAATGAAGCAGTTCACTAGCTAAACCTAGCAGAACACTAGCTGCAAGCTAAAACAATTAAAATATTAGCTTAAAGAAACAAAACACTAGCTAAAAGCTAAATGAAACATTTCACTAGAACACTGGCTGCAAGCAAAAACAATTAAAACGGCTTAAAGAAACAAAACACTAGCTAAAAGCTAAATGAAGCAGTTCACTAGCTAAACCTAACAGAACAC